GCATTTGCCATACTCTTTCCATAAGTGTCTACTATCACATTAAAAAGATCCAGTCTTCAAAATCTGGATATACATGTCAGTTAAAAAAAGTTTTATTTATATCATAGCTTAGAGAGAGGTTAATAAAATAACAGTATTCCTCTATTATCCAAGGAAGTTTCCTTCTCTGTCCTGATAAACCATAATATAGAGTATCAAGAAAAAATGAGACATAATGATGAGTATTACAAGTTGTTTGAGATGGCCTTAAGATAGTTTATTGTTTTTAGGAAGAGGAACTAGGACTTGCTAATCTGAATTTGCACTGGGACTTGTGACAAAGTGCACCTTCTTTCTCTGTGAACCCATCTTGCAAAATAATTGAGGCAAAAGGAAAATTAGAGAAGTGAGATGTGCCTGCTCACTTATGCTTAAATGGAAGCTATTTTAAAGACAGAATCACTTTTTTTAACATTATTTTTTGGCTGATTTTTAATTTTAAAAACATTTTAAATTTAATTTTTTCTCAATTACATGTAAACAAAATTTTTAACATTTTAAAAAATTTTGAGTTCCAAATTCCCTCCCCCCTCCTCCATGAAGAAGGCAAACAATTTGATATGGATTATACACGTGCAGTTATGCAAAATAATTTCATATTAGCCATGTTGCAAAAGAAAGAATAGACCAAAAAAAAACCCCCGAGAATGATAAAGAAAGTTTAAAAATCAGGCTTCAATCTGCATTCAGACTTCATCAGTTCTTTCTCTGGAGGTGCATAGCATTTTTCATTGTAAATCCTTCAGAACTGTCTTGGATCATTGTATTTCTGAGAATAGCTAAATTATTCACAGTTGATCATTGCATAAGATTGCTGTTGCTGTGTACAATGTTCTCTTGGTTCTGTTCAGTTTATTTTGCATCAATTCATGTAAGTCTTCTCAGGTTGTCCTGAAAACATCCTGCTTGTCTTTCTTACAGCACAATAGTAGAAGCAATAACTCTTGTGGAGAAGACAATACAAGGCTCCTCCCTTTGCTTCCATACTAGAATCAAGGAGTGTCAGGGCTGGAAAGGAACCCAAGATCATCTAGTCCAGTTCCTTCAGATCAGGAAACTGAGGCCTAGAGTATGGAAAAAAAACTTGCTCAAGCTAACACAGTGAATCAGTAGTGGAGTTAGGACTAGAGCTTATGCCTCCTATTTCCCAAGTCAGTATTTTCCTTACCACTCCAAGCCCTCACTTCTTGTTTATGTAAATTTTTAAAAAATTGAACTTAAACATCAGATAAAGAGCATTTCCATATACACAGCAGAACACAAAAATAGGGCTGTATATGAAAGCATGAATCTCCATTTCATACCACTTTTTTTTTTTCAGCCAAAGACAAGGTTTATTAGAACATCTGTCAAATTGGGCAGACTCTTAAGGAATCTGAACATTAGTGAGCTATTGGCTAGATCGTAAAAATCTGAGCCCAGACCACTTTTTCAAAAGTATATAATTGGGACAGCTAGGTGGCGCAGTGGATAGAGCACCGGCCCTGGATTCAGGAGGACTTGAGTTCAAATCTGACCTCAGACACATAACACTTACTAGCTGTGTGACCCTGGGCAAGTCACTTAACCCCATTGCCTAGCCAAAAACAACAAACAAACAAACAAACAAAAAACCAAAAGTATATAATAAATTCTACAGATTACTTTCAAAACTGTCCTTCTAGTTTCTGCTTCCTTCTGAGCTTCCTTCTGTTCTCTTCTGTGCATTTTTACAAAAAGTTTCAATGGCCCTTTTTGTTGACATCAACATTGATAACTCTCCCTCTCTCTGAGATGCGGGGCCCTCCCCAACTAAAAATAAAGGAGAAGAAAAAACAACCTTTCAACAAATAAGCACAGTAAGCAAAACAAATCTATATAGTAGTCATGTCCAAAAATGTATGTCTCTTTCTGTCCCTTATGACTGACTTGTCAACACCTCCTGTGAGAAGGACTTTTATCACAGTCCTGAGAAGTCATAGTTGGTTATTGCATTGATCAGAGTTCTTTAAGTTTTTCAAAGTTTTTTTTTCTTTACAATGTTATTGTACTTGTATAAAATATTTTCTGAGTATTGCTTACTTCACTCTGCATCAATTCATATTCAATAGGGTTCTTTGCAATTGAGTCTTGTCATTTCTTACAATACAATCATATTCAATTATATTCATGTACCAGTATTTGTTTGGCCACCTCCAATTAATGGGCATCCCCACAGATTCTCATTTTTCCCCCTTTTAGTCCTTCTCTTCAAAATCAAGGTCTTTTTGTTTGTCTGTTTGCTTTTTGCCTTGTTTTTATTCCCTCCTCAGTATTATCTTTCCTCAACCCTGTCCCCCATTCTCATTCGTTTCCCTATTGATTTTGATGTCTTTCTCCACCAAACTGTTAATATGTGTGTTCAGCCCTCATTTGTCCATTTCAGTAAGTGAGGTTCATCTGGCGCCTGTGCCCCCTATCTCTTCCTCTATATCTGAACATTCTTTTCATTGATCACAATGAGAAAGAGCAAGTTCCACCCCCTTCCTTTTCCTTTCCACACTAGTATATTTCTTTTACTCTTCTTTCTCCTCTTAAAGCCCTCAGAAGAGAATCAATCCACCCCACTGGGTCCTGTGTTTTCATTTAACTCCCTCAATACCCTTTGAAGACATTAAAGGGTTTTGAAGAGACACTGGTTTCTTTTCCCTCTAACAGAATGTTAGCACTACATCATTATACAGTCCCTTCCAATTCTTCAAATAAATGGATCCTCCTAGGTTTCTCTTAAATCTTGTGTTTGCATTTCTGAGTTCCTACTTAGTTCTGGTCTGTTCATCATAAATGCCTGAGAATCCTCTATCCCAGGGGTGGGAAACCTGTGGCCTTGAGGCCACATGCGGCCCTCTAGGTTCTTGGATGTGGCCTTTTGACTGAGTCCAAGCTTTACAGAACAAATCTTTTTATTAAGGGGATTTGTTTTGTGATATTTAGAGTCAGTCAAAGGGCCACACTTGAGGACCTAGAGGGCCACATGTGGCCTTGAGGCTGCAGGTTCCCCACCCCTGCTCTATCCCATTAAAGTTCCATCCTCAGTCCATAGGATTTATACTCAGCTTTTCTGGGTAAGTTATTCTTGGTTGTAAGTGTATATATTTTGCCTTTTGGAATACTATGTAGCAACACCTCTCATTTTTAGTAGAAGTTGCTAAGTCTTATGTGATCCTGATTGCAATTCTTTGGTACTTAATATGCTTTCTCCTCTTCCCTCTCCCCCCCCCTCCCCTCCCCACCACCTCACTAGATGCTTGAAGTATTTTTTTTCATTGATGTAGGAACTCTGAATGTTGGCTATCACAATCCTAGGACTCCTACTTTTGGAGTTTTTCAGGAAGCAATCAGTGGATGCTTTTTATCTTCACTTTGTCTTCTGGTTCTAATAGATATGGGAAGTTTTCTTTTATGATTTCTTAAAATATAATATGCAGGTTTTTAAAAATCATGATTTTCAAGAGGTATGATGATTATTTAATTCTCCTTGATCTGTTTTCAAGGTGAATTCTTACATATTTTTAAATCTTAATTTTGTTCTAATTATTTCTTGAAGTATCATGAAGTCATTGATTTCTGGTCTATTTTAGTCTTCAGGAAGTCCATTACTTTAGGAAAACTTTACCATTTACTTTTCTAAACTGATTTTCTTCTTCTAATGCTTTCCCTTAGAGCTCTTATTTCATTTTTTATCTCTTGCTTTATTTTGTTCAAGGTATTTATGCAGTCTGTGGAAAGCTCCTATTTTCCTTTGAATCTCTGCTTGCATTTGTTGTGGAGTTACACTCTCCTTTTGGGGGATCTCTTGGTGATAATATTTGATACTGGATGGTGTTATCTTTGATTTACATGTTCACATGTTACATCTTTAGTCCCAAATTGAGGCGCTTTGCCATGCCACAGCTATGGGGTTGGAGGTAAAAGACCTGGATTTGAATCCTGGCTTTGCTAACAACTACCTATTTCAGCTTGGCCATGTTATCTAACTAATTAAGTTCCTTTTAACTTTTAACCCAATGAACTGTAAAGTACCCTATAATGAAGATGGTTCCTGTACTTTGTGTACTTTGGAGATCCTTGTAAAAAAATGGCCATGGACTAAATTGTATAATCACAAGAATTACCAAGACTACACATAACTGTAGAAACATTCTGCCTCTGATCTCTGTCTATAAGAATTTGTCAAAGTCTGACACAATGATTAGCTACTTTGAAGAATATTGGTATAATCAAAGGGGTCAATCATATATAGATTATCAATTCAACATGATCAAAATGCTTCTATAACTGATGATATAATTGGTAAAAAGTTTTAACTTTGTTTTAGTATACAATCCTTCCAGGAGAATGTTTACAAAATTACAACTGAGAGCTAAAAGTAAAATTGATATTTTGGAATCTGGATCCCAAAATGGGAAAGGTTCTATTTGTTTTTATAACCTCTGAGGACAATGACATATTGGACATTCAACTACCTAATCAGTATAGTGCCCAGAAGACAAGATGGCGAGGAGAGTAGAGACCGTGCCATATGAGGATAGGTTGAAAAAACTGGCGATTATTCATCTGGACATTAAAATACTTCAGGTGGACATGAAGGTTATCTTCACACATATCAGGTGCTGTCATGAACAAGATGGAATGTGCTTGTTCTTCTTGACTCTAAAAGGTAAAACTAGGACCAAGAGAGATAGCTACAGGAAGACAGAGTTCAGCTCAGCATATGAAAAAGAGAAGCAACATGCCATGGTAAACAGAATGCTGACCTTGGAGTTGGGAAGACCTAGGTTCTCACCATAATGGCTATATGATTATGGGCAAGTCACTTTAAACTTCCAGTGTCCTAAGCAATTATAAGTTATAGAGAGGCTGCAGATCCACTGGTGGCGGGACTTCAACAGCTGGAATTCCCCACACAGATGAAATCACTTATCTCTACCTCTCCAAAAGGATAAATTTTACAAAAACTAGAATTGTACAAAAGTAGAGTACATTGCTTTGTAAGGTAGTGAGTTTCCCATCAAAAGAGGTATTTAATTGGGGGCTGGATAACCGGATGCTTTTTGGAGACACAGTAGAAGGTATTCATGCTTGAGCAGGAACTAGATGATCTCTCAGATTCTTACTAGCTCTGAGATTCTATTTCTAATTGTCCAAAATCTCAATAGGCTATAATAAAACTGATAAGCATCACAAGACTGGAATTATACATTTTATGTCGTCTTCTTCTATATTTACTTATATACTTTACAAATATATTAAATGGAACATCTGTCAGAAAATTGATATTGATTAAAGCATAATCAAATTAGTTCAGTGCTATAGACAACCTGTCAAGAAAATACATTTTTCAGTTCAATAAACATTTATTAAGCCTCCATTTGCAAGGCACTGAGCTTGGCACTGGGGATACAAAGATGAAAAACAACATAATCCATTAAGCTCTCAACCTAGGCTTTCAATTTAACCCAAACAACAAATCTCATGCCAGGAGGAGGATCCTTTGTTTGAGAATCAGTCTGGTACATGAACAAGTACCTGGATGTTTCCATATCTAGATCATAAGTTGCTCTTGACGGTTCTGTGTATCTTTACAAAGTATTGCTCAGAGGATGACATGAGATCATTGAGGTCATATTCAACATCAAAGGAAGGTTGCTTTTGCAAAACAATGAGTGCAGTCAACAGTGCAAACCGTGCTGTCAATCCCCAGATTTGATAGGTTGATTGATTTTGGCGATCCATGTAGCCAAAGTAATGAAAGAGAACACGGTGACCAAAAATAGTTGAGTAAAAAGAATAGTGTGTGCGTGGACTCAGGAAAAACTCCAGGGGCACCAGGAACACCTCGCTCACTTCATGTGGATTAGGCTGGGCCTGGAATGAACTGTCTATAAATCCCACAACTGGGGTTATCATGGCACCATTCTGAAAGTGGAGCACAGCGAAAGAAAAATTAGGACAAAATAATCAATAGAACTTTCCAACTTCTATCAAACCCGATAATATACCACTGTCAAATGTGCTGAAGGAAATCATAAAACTGTGCTGAGTCTACTACATATTCATGCTATCTAATGTCAAGTGATGAACAGCAAGCCTGTCTTTCATTTTTGATTAACTCTATTACACTCTTCACAATGCCTGTTCCAAACTTTTTTTCTCTTCAGGTACCCAACTCTACCTCCAGCTCCCTTTTTCTCAGCATATGATCTGATATGAAAAGACCATCCAAACATGAGCTTTCCCACCTCTGCTCTTCCACACTCCCAAATCTTTCAATGTCTTCACCCATATTAAAGGAAGTGTCCATTTTTCTTGCTAAACTCTCTCCTCCATTTGTACGATTGATCCCATCATCCCCTTCCATTCCTCCAAGACCTTTCTCCATCAATCATGATGTCTTCTTCATGAATCTTCAATCTCTTCTTCTCTACCATAACTATGGAGGCGGTTAGGTGGTGCAATGGATGAGGCAATGGGCCTGGAGTTAGGAAGAACTGAGTTCAAATCCATCCTCTGACACTTACTAGCTGTGAGATCCCAGGCAAGTCACTTTACATCTGTCTGCCTCAGTTTCCTAGCACCCACCTCAAGGTGTTTTGAAGATCAAATGAAATAATATTTGTCAAGTACTTCATACAATGCCTGGCACTTAGCAGGTGTTTATTAACTGCTTGTACTCTCCATCCTCCCCCCCCCCCCCCCCCCGTTATAGACTCTTTCCCCTCTCTGTACAAATATGCTCAGGTCTTTTTTTGTCCTAAGAAAAATCTTTTTTTTTTTGATCTTGGAACCTCATTCAATTATTGTCCTTTCTCCTCATAAAATCACTATTCAACCCTTTGTAACTTGTCTTCTAGTTTGACTACTCCAGTGATATAACTTTCTCCAAGCTTCTCCAATACCTCCTTATCACTAAATCCAATCAGGGTTTTTTTTTTCCTGTTCTCATTTCTTTCACACTGCAGACAGCTCATTTCCTTGAATTTTTCCCTTGGCTTTTGTAGAACTACTCTTTCATGGTTCTCCTTTCAACTTTTTGTTGACTTTTTGTTGTATTCTTTTGTTGTATTCTTGACCCTTAAACTTGGATGTTCCTTAATGTTCAATCTTAGGCTTTTTTTGTCTTTTATCTTCTCTCTTGATGATGCCATGGCTTCAACTATCACCTATATGTAGATGACTCCTAGATCTATACCTTCACATCCAATCTATCCTCTGAGCTCCAGTCCTTTATTTCAGTACCTATACCTGAATATCTTGGAATAACTAGAATTCAGTATATCTAAAATTGAACTCCCTGTTGAAATTCTACCCATCCTTAAAGCTTTATCTCATATGCCTACCCTTCCATATGTTCCAGAAAAACTGGACAGCTCACCATCCCCTCTTCTCATCCTGCCCTTTCCCATATCCTGATATTTCCTCTGACTAAAAGGGTCTCCTTCAAACTTCACCTTGGCCTGTTCTGATGGCACCTAATCCATGAAGCCTTTTCTGAGTACCTTCTCCTAGCCTCTCAAAACCTCAGCTCCAGATGAACTTTTTTCTTCTTTAATCTCTTATTCCATGACATTTGGATCTCTCTTATTCACTATTGTAACTTGTATTATAGTCGTGTGTAGTTTTGTCTTATTTAATTGCTAGACTATGAGTTCCTTAATGGCAGGGACTGTTATCTAATTTTTGCCTTTGTATTTCCCTTAGAGCCAACTACATGTGATATTGAACATAGTTTGTATTAAATAAATTTTAAATGAAACCTAGTTGTGTTTATTCATATTTTGGTTCCCAAAACTAATCACTTGCTTTAGAAGTTGCACTCTAATTAGAGGCTGGCATATGACATTGTGTAAGTTAAGCATATTTTGTTAGATTTGTTTGAGAAGTTGGTTAGTTTTAATGAACTGCTGAGTCTCTGGGTGCACGAGGAGTAAGGGATATATTTGGAAATGATGTAAAAACAAAAGATATCCATAAAAATTTTCCAAAAAAGGAATTCAAGTGTAATTGTGAAGATGCATGTCCAAGTCTTTAATTTCATTCTCATTTCAAGTTTACCACACACACAGTGCTGGAATGGACTACTGAAGTCACCTCATCCAACTCCATTTTAGAGACAGAGAAAATTAATCACAGAATGGTAAAGTGATGTTTGTTAGGGAAACTTCAGTTATTCCCTTTCTGTTTTTTTCCATCATACTCTTTTCCTCTCCCCTGACAACCACTCTACTATAGGCCCTCATTACCTCTTATCTATATTATTTCAGTAGCCTATGAATTAGTCTTCCTGCTTTCAATATCTCACCATTTAGTACACTTTGCATATACTACCCGAGTAATCATCTTAATGCACAGATCTATGTCAAGACCTTGCTCTCTACTATCAAAAATAAATATTTAAATTTCTCACTTTAGCATTCAAGGATGCAGTGTGAATTTGGAGTATAGCCCTAGAGCTGGTGTCAGAGGATTTATGTTCAAATCCTGGCTCTGCCATTACCTATGTGACCTTGGCATTTTGAGATTACAGATTTAGAACCAGGAGATTCAGAGGTCATCTAAACAAACCTCTTCATTTTACGTATGAGGAAACTGAAGCTGAAGAAGGTTAAGGGACAAGTCCACAGTCACAGAGCTGGTAACAGGAAGTCTCTTCCCCCTTTCTCAGTTTTAGTTTCCTCATCTGTAGAAGGAAGGGGTGAGACTAAAAAACTCTAAGGTCCTGTTCAAATAAAAATCTTCCAATATAACTTTTTTTTAGCATTACTTCATATTATTCCTCTCCATATACAAGTACTCTCTGTTGCAGCTAACTAAACTTGAATGATTTGTAAGTTTCCTTATATAATGTGAGCTTTCTTGTCTCTGTGCATTTGCTTATTCTGTTCTCTACGTATCATGTGTCATCCTTTCACCTCTTCCTGCCACCACTCCCCTATATAGGTTGTATTGCCCTAGTAGAATAGAAGCAACCTGAAAGCAGGCCTTTTTTACTTACTTTTTACTTCAAAAAGCACGCTTTTTTCTTCTATATTAAGCACTTAGCACAGTTCTTGGCATACAGTAAGCACTTGGAAAATGTTCTTTCTCTCATTCTCTCTCTTTCTGTCTGTTTCTACTCATCTTCTACTTGTCTTTCTGTCTGTCTCTCCCTCACTTCTATTTTCCTCCCTCTCCCTTCATCTGCTGTCATTCTACTTTTGCTTAAGGGTACAAACTAGCTACCTCCTCTCCCCTAAAGACTTCCCTAGGCCAACTTCAAGCTAGAAATTTTCTCCTATTCCTTTTGGCTTTCAGAGTAGTTTTTAACTCTTTTTATGCAATATGATATTTGTTCTGTATTACAGTTCTATATGAATACCTCCCTTGCTAAATTGTAGGTCAGAGACCAAGTCTTAATTAGCTTTCTGTCATCCAATACCAAGCAGAGAACCATTTACAGAATATATCTAATATTGAACCAAATCTACCCTTCTGAGCAGTAAAGGCAGAAAGAGAAGGTAGGGTCTTGTACTAGGCTTGGGGAACAGTAAGCCTCATAGAGCTCATAATCTGGTAGTAGAGACAGACATATACAGATAACTACAATGCAAACTAGATTAGAGTACATGATTAAGAGGAGATCAGTTGAAGGGGAAATCAATTTGACCCATAAACTATAGAAGGCTTCATAGATAAAGTAGTGTTTGAACTGGGCCTTGAAAGATGGATAGGATTTTGATAGGCAGAGATGACTAGGAAGAGAACCCATTCTAGAAACAGAAAATAGAATAAATAGGGGCCCAGAAGTGGGAATGTTTAGGTTGGTGAATAATGTGATTTGGACGGGACAAACATAACATGTCTGTGTAGTATACTGAGGTCAAGTTGGAGATGTAGGCTACACCTTAATTGTGAAAGGCATTGAATGCTAGGTAAGGTAATATGGATTTATTTTGTAGGCAATGGACAGCAACAGAAAGGTTTTGGTTAGAACAATAATGACTTTATTAGTCCTGAATATAAGGAAGACTGCTTGGGTAGCATGTGAAGGATAGATTGGAGAGAGAGAGAGACTAGAGACAGAAAGATGACTTAGAGGAGGTGATTACAATATTGTACAAGTGAAAGGTAATAAGAACTTACACTATTATACTAACAATGAGAGTAGATAGCTAAACCAGATGACTTCTAAGGTTCAATTTTAATGCTAAAATAAAACAAATGAAATAAAAAATCAGAAGAATGATCTAATCCTCAAGAAAAACATAACAAATGAATAAAGTACTCCATAAGTTTTGAGTCTGCTAATTGTTCTCTCCTACCAGGACATTGGCTGGCTTCCAATTTCAGACAGAACATGAATCTATTTGGATACACTAAATAATACAAATATTTCCTTTTAGCCAAGATCATGAAGCCAAGGCTGAGTGCCCAGAGTATGGGTGGCTGTAAAACCAAAACCTCACAGGCAGCAATTTTTCAAAACAAATTGCTTAGAGTTGTTTTGTTCCCTGGCCATCACCCCAAAATTCTGACACAGTCTGTCTTTGTCTTTTCTCCCACCCCTTCTGTATAAGGACAGAGGTATGGATTAGGAATCAGGATACCTACTTCAAAGCCTGGAGATGACCCTCAGGCTCCTGAAGATTCTGCCAGTGGAATGAAAGTTCTGGCAGGTACTGCTAAGGTAGAAATTGTGTCTGGTGGCTGACTCTGTGTCTATTTTTCAAGAACCAACTTAGCTAAGTGTGGAGAGAGTTGGCTATCAAAAGATTAATCTTTCTCAGTGGATACCACTCATGAATGCTATCTATGGAGTAGTTGTGATTTGTACTGGCTGAAGGAATAACCACATCAGTAAAATCCAGAATCATTTAAAGTATTAATATGTACAGGACCTTACATTTACTGCTACCGAATTTCACCCTGTTGGTACCAGCCCAGTGTACCAGCTTGTTATGATTCTAAATCTTAATTCTGTCATTCCTCCCTTCTAGCTTCATGTCACCTTAAAATATGAGTATATCTTGTGATCAGGACACAACTGAGGACAAAACTATTGGTTCCCGTCCATATTTTTTTCCCCCAAAGAAATGTAACAATTTTACCAGGAACAAAGGAAGCAGAAGCATGCAAAAAGCAACAAGTAAGGCTATTACTCTGGATTTAATTATGATCAATGAAATGGAGAAATGACAAATGATGAAAGGTAACAGAAAAATTTGGAAGAAAGGGACTTTGATATATTAAAGTTTATAACAACAAAGGAAGAGAATGTTAGGCATGGTGTCATATGAGAGATGAAGTCCTAGACTGTCTTAGAAAGGTTCAGCCTTTACAAGAATATGGATTCCTTCCCCTTGGGTGAATCCTTTGCGGATGGTGATACTGCTTTGTTAAGAGAAACATCAGAACCATGGTCAGTGGTTGTGAAAACTAGTATCAATCAGTTCAGCACTGGGGCAGTGGACAGCACTACACAGTTTACAACTGAGAAGTTAGCATTTCAGCTTTGCCCTAGGAATATTTAAGGAGGACCAAGGGCTATTACCCTTTAAGTACCTTAAATGCAATGAAAGTGTACCCTCTAAGTCTTCTTTCTCTAGACCAAGCATAACCAGGTCCTTTAACCTATCCTCATATGAATACAGGGTCTCTAGCTCCCTCACCATTCTGGTCATCCTCCTCTGGATGCACTCCAGTTTGTCAATATCCTTCTTAAAACATTATGTTCAGAACTTAACCAATATTCTAGATGTAGTCTAGCCAAGGTAGAGACAAGTAGGACTATCACCTCCCTCATTTCGGACGCCATCATTTTTAGAGAGGGGACATCACAAGATAAAGTTGGAAAAACACAAAATTCTAGCCCATACCTTGTTTATGTATGGCACAAGACGACAGATGACTTCTACTTGGTGTGGCTGAAGTCCAACTTCCTCCTCAGCTTCCCGGAGAGCCGTCGCTATTTCATCTCTGTCTCCTGGCTCACTCTTTCCCCCTGGGAAGCACACTTCCCCTGGTGAGGTACGTAACTAAATATTAAGTGAAAATTACTAGATTATATTTAGTTACATAGTTATTAATACGGCAGAAAATAGGAAATTTTGTCTTTTATGCTTCAAATCCTCACTGACAAACTGTGTATCAGTCATTAGTAGACCAGGTAGCTCAATGGAAGTGGAAAGTTTCAACACCAGAGAGCTGGCCATGAAACTCTTGAATAGTTTTAGACAATATTTATGAAGACTGGCTGCTAAGATGGCTAAATTTGGTGGAGACAGCACTGGCACTAATAAAAATATTGGTCTTGCGAAGTGTTCAAGAAATATAGGAATGCTGAACAATCTATGTGCCTGATGCACACAGCTGTAATATGTCAGAGGTGGAATTTGAAGCCAGGTCTTCCTGAGTTCTAAATCTGTAATCTCAAAATGACAAGGTCACATATGTAATGGCAAGCTGCGATTTGAACATAAATCCTCTGACACAACTCTAGGGCTGTACTCCAAATCCACAATGCATCCCTGAATGTCAGATTAAGAAAATTTAATCATTTATTTCCTGACTTCAAGCCCAGTACTGTACCCACTCTGCTTCTACTAACTTAAGGAAAGTTAAAAAAATATACTTTTAAAATATATCACTAAGTTAAGAAAACATTACTATGACAATGCAAAAATGGTAATCCCTATCATAATCCTTTGAAAAAGGACAATAAAAGTCATGAGTAATTAGATACTAAGAAATGGAAATTTTCAGGTAGCAAGTATTTATGAAAGTTCTACCATTTGCAAGGCTCTGTTGAAGAAATTTTTTTAAAAAGTTACATTTCTATAATAGTTTCCACTTTTACAAAACTTTCCTAAAAAGATCTGAGTTAAGGACTGCGGTATGATTATACCCATTTAACAGAGAAGAAACTGTATTGAGAGGGCAAGTGTCTTGTCCAAGGTCAAAAGACTAATAAGTGGCAGAGTCAGAACATAGACTCAGGTCTCCTGATTACAAGGCCACTACTACAGCCACCATACCACAGCATAACTTCAAAATGTAATGCATGTAATAAGCCCACACAAAAAAGGGACAGGTGGTGATTTGTCCAGTTTGACAGAAATGGAGAAAATATGAAGGAGTGCATTAAATCAAGCTCTAAGATGAGTTAGGCCCCTATTTGTAGAGAGCCAGGACTTGATTAAATAGAAAGTAGAAAGCTACTGAAGGTATTTGGGCAGCAAAGTGATGTCATTAGATCCGTGTATTACAAAGATTATTCTTTTTAAAGCTTTTACATGTTTTCTTTTTATACCACATTTATTTCTGCATACCCCATCTCCACTAGCCCAGTGAGCTTTCCCTTGTAATAAGTTGTGGGGAGTTTTTAATGTCACAAAACCAAATGATACAGTAAGTTTGACAGCCTATGCAAAATTAGTAAAATTATCTTTGCAGATTTGTGAAGGATGGGACTATAGAAAGAGGCTGGAGGCAGAAAGGCCAGTAAGGAGTCTATTATAATAGTTCAAAAACATAGTCTAAATGATGTGGCAACTGCTCTAGCTCTGGGCCACCTTTTCTGGCAGACAGGAAGAGGCAGAGAAGAAAAGACATTGGATGGAGAGTCAAGAGACCTGGCTTCTACTGATTCTCTTCCCCTCTCTGCAAAATGAGTTGTTTGCACTAGTTGATCCCTAAGGTCCTCTCCAGCTTTCACATTCTATGGCTCTAGGATCATCAGCCTAAGACAGTGGAGCAATGGTTGTAACAGGGAAGGTTACTGCTCTAGGAACTGTATGAACAATGATAGAAGTCTCACAGGATAGTCTAGTATGAATGCTGATTAAGTTAGGACTTAGAATGTCTTCCATCTAGCTTTGATGTTCTCATTTTCTAATTAGCTATAATATAAGATTATAATTGAAATGCTGAATAAAGGCATATCTTGTGACTAGATGTATCTAAACCTGCAATGTAAGGTATTATCAGGGTGGTGAATGAAAAGACTACTGGAAATGGAGGAAGAGGACCTGAGTTCAAATGCTAACTCAGCTACTTACTACTTACATGAATTTAGACAAATCACAATTTCTTTGGGCCTAGTTTTCCTCATTTGTAAGGTTTCCTCTAAGGTCCCTTCCACTTCTACATCTGTAATCTATGAAAGGCAGCATGGTTCACTGGGGGAGTGCTAGACTTAGAAGATCTGGATTTAAATCTTGGTTCTGATTTCTCTCCTCTCAGTATCAAGATGGTGGACTGCAAATGGGGAATGTTTCATATACGGTGAGATGTGGCTGCTCTGTAAGCTGGTTTAACTTTTTCTTTGCTGAATGGGTTTTATGAGAAGGAAGTGGTTGCTGGAAAGTAATTGTGAGGTAAAAAACAAAATTCATCAAACAAGTTTTAAAACTTGGGTCTCTTACAACCTACTTACGTGACCACGCACTTCACTGCTCTGGTCAACCATTATTTATTTTACATAAAAACAAAATAATACTTGCATAACTTCCTTCACAGAGGGATTGTGAAGATCAAATGAGATGATAAAAAGAATGTATTGTGCAAACCTTAAAATTAGATAGAAATGGAAGCTATTCTCATTATTGTTGTTTGGAAAGTCAAGTTTTTTTAATCTAATTTAATATTTTTCTCAATTACATGTAAAAGCAATGTAAATATCTTTTTTTTTCTTCAAATATTGAGTTCCAAATTCTCCCCCACCTAATTGAGAAGGCAAGCAATTTGACACAGGTTATACATGTGTAGTCATGCAAAAACACAGTTCCACGTAAGTCATTCTGTGAAAGAAAACACAGTAAAAAAACAAACAAACAAGAAAAATAAAGAAAAAGTATCTTTGATCTGCATTCAAACTTTACCAGTTCTTTTTCTGGAGACGGACAGCACTTTTCATCATAAGTTGTACAGAATTATCTTGGATCATTGTATTGCTGAGAATAGCTAAGTTACTCATAGCAGATCATCATGACATTGCTGTTACTGTGTACAATGTTCTCCTGGTTCTGTTCATTTTACTTTGCATTCGTTCACGTAAGTCTTTCCAGATTTTTCTGAGGGCACCCTATTCATCATTTCTTTGAAGCACAATAGTATTCCTTCACAACCATATATAACTTTTTGTACACATAGGTCCTTTTCCTTTTTGTTTTTTATCTCTTTGGGATACAGAGCTTGCAGTGAGTACTACTAAGTCAAAGAGTATGCATGCTTTTATAATCCTTTGGGCATAGTTCCAAATTGCTCTCTAGAATGGTTAAATTAGTATATCAGTGTCTTAATTTTCCCACATCTCCTCCAACGTTTGTAATTTTCCTTTTCTGTAATATTAACCATTCTGACAGGTGTGAGGTAGTAGCTCAGAGTTGTTTTAATTTGCATTTCTCATCAACAGTGATTTAGAGCATTTTTTTTCATATGACTATATATAGCTTTCATTACTTTGTCTGAAAGCTACCTGTTCACATCCTTTCACCATTTATCTATTAAGGAATGGCTCTTACATCTATAAATTTGACTCAGTTTTCTATATGTTTGAGAAATGAAGTCTTTATCAGAGAAACTCAATGTAAAAAAAATTTTTTTCCACAATAATGATTACCAACTAAGTATTTTCTTCCACTCTATTTTCCCCATTTATCCTACTTTCTCTCTCTCCTTTTACCATGTCCATTCTCAAAAGTGTTTTGCTTCTGGGGGCAGTTAGTTGGTGCAGTGCATAGAACACCAGCCCTGAAGTCAGGAGGACCTGAGTTCAAATCTGGCCTCAGACCAAACACCTGACATTTACTAGCTGTGTGACCCTGGGCAAGTCACTTAACCCCAATTGCCTAAAAAAAAAAGAAAAAAAGAAAAGTGTTTTGCTTCTGATTTTTACCTCCCCCAAAATGCCCTCCTTTCTATCAGCACTTCCTCCCTCTCATCCTCTTCCCTTCCCACTTTCCTGTATGGTAAGATAGATTTCTACACCCAACTGAGTGTGTATATTATTCTCTCTTTGAGCCAATTCCAATAAAAGTAAGGTTCATGTGCTCCCCTCCCTGCTTCCCCCATTTTCCCCTCCACTGTAAAATCTCTTTCAGGCCTCTTTTATGTCAGATAACTTAAACCATTCTACCTCTCCCTTTCCCCTTCTCCCAGTGCATTCTTCTTTTTCATCCCTTAATTTTTTATTTTTTTTAGATAATCATACCATCACATTCAACTCATACCTCTACTTTCTGTCTCTGTATACTCCTTCTAACTGCCCTAATAATGAGAAAGTTTTTAGGAGTCGTAAATATCATTTCCTATGAGGAATATAAACAAGTTTAATCTTATCAAATTCCTTAAGATTGTTCTTTCCTGATTACTTTTTAATGCTTCTTTTGCATCTTGTACTTAAAAGTCAAATTTTCTATTCAGCTCTGGTCTTTTCACCAGAAACGCTTGAAAGTCCTCCATTTTGATTCAAATTTAAGGGGGTGGAACCAAGATGGCAGAGTAAAAGCAGTGACTTGCTTAAGCTCTCCCCCAAAACCCTCCAAATACCTGTAAAAATTTCTACCTCTAAACAAATTCTAAAGTAGCAGAACCCACAAAAAGACAGAGTAAAACAAATTTCTAGCCCAAGACAACTTGATCTGAAAGGTATATTGAGCCAGGCAGGGAGAAGAACACAGTTTGGCATGGGTGTGTAGGCAAAACAGGCCTCAGTGAACCTAGGAGCAGCCCTCAGAGGCCTGAATCCAGACTTCTCAAACCACAAACACCAAAGACAACTTAGAAGGTCAGTAGGAAAAGTCTGTGAGTATGGTGAGAGAGAAGCTCAGTCCCAGTCCCAGTCCCCGTGCTTGGCCCCGGGGCGGCAGCTGCCTCATGAGTTCCGACCTATAAACTGAGGGGGAATTGAGTGGCTGATCAGAAAGGGACTGCAGAGATCTCTCTGCTGGTGCAGGATTCTCTTGCTTTGCCCGTACTTGGATCTGGGTCACAGTTCTGGGTGGCAGTCCTGGGGCTAGAAGGAGTGCTGGCGTGG